ATCACATGATTAACTATGCTGGTGATAGTGGTGGTTATGAGCCGTGGAGTCGGTTCCGACTCATAGCGACCCTGTACCGGGTTTCCGAGGCTGTAAATCTTTACGGGAGCAGAAAGCCTCATCTTTCTTCTGTGGAACAGCTGGTAGTTTCGAACAGTTGACCTTGCGGTTTGCAGGCTGATTTGTAACCATTACGCTACCAAACCTCCTATTTACTATGCTAAGAATGACAAATTGCAGAGGAATGGCATCATATTCATCATTAAAAAGAACCTATCAATATCTGTCTTGAAGTACAATGCTGTCTGTGATAGGATAATATCCATATTCCTACAAGGAAAACCAGTTAATTTACACTGCAACCACTAAAGCGTAAGAGGATGAATTAAGGAATTTTAACCAACTTCTTCAGTCTGAAATTGATTAAAATACAATCAAGATGTATTGATAATTACTGGTGATTGAAATGCAAAGGTTAGAAACAAAGAGGGGAAGGATCATTAGTTGGAAAATAAGGCTTTGGTAATAGAAATGATGCTGGAGATCACCTGATAGAATTTTGGAAGATCAGTGATTTCTTCATTGCAAATACCTTTTAAACAATGTAAAAGATGACTATACAGTTGGACCTGATCAGGTGGAATACACAGAAATGAAATTGACTACATTTGTGGAAAGCAACAATGGATAAGCTCCATGTTATGAGCCGAGACAAGACCAGGGGCAGACTCGTATGCAAGTTCAGGCTGAAGCTGGAAAAAATTTAAAACAAGTCCACAAGAGCCAAAATATGACTTTGACTATATCCCACCTGAATTTAGAGCTCATCTGAAGGACAGATTTTGATGCATTAGACACTAAAAACTGAAGACCATAAGAGTTGTGAGATGGGCATCAAGAAAATCACACAGAAAGAAAGCAAAAGGTCATTAAGAAGACAATAAACAATGAAAAGACCAAAGTGAATGTCAGAAGAGACTCTAGCCTGCTCTCTATTGTAGAAATGGTAAAGCAAATGGAAGAAATGAGATAAAGGAGCTAAATAGAAAATTTCAAAGGACAGCTTGAGGAGACAGTCAAGTATTATAACGAAATGTGCAAAGACCTGGAGTTAGAAAACCAAAAGAGAAAAACATACTCGGCATTTCTCAAGCTGAGGGAACTGAAGAAAAATTCAAGTCTTCTACTTGTAGTATTGAAGGTTTCAACGGGCAAAATATTGAATGATGCAGAAACTGAAATCTTTAGACACTGTGGCACTGTAGGCACTCATCTATGCCAAGAAACTTGAAAGACAACTACCTGGCCAACTGACCAGAAGAGATCTGTATTTATGCCCATTCCAAAGAAGAGGTCACCCAGCGGAATGCAGAAATCATCGGACAATATCATTAATATCTCATGCACGTAAAGTTTTACTAAAGGTAATACAGAAACAGCTGAATTACATACATTAATAGAGAACTTCTGGAGGCTCAAGTTGGATTCAGAAGAGGAAGGACATGGAACGAGGAATATCATTGCTTGTGTCAGATGGATCTTGGCTGAAAGCAGAGAACACCAGAAAGACATTTACCTGTACTTTATTGAGTACGCAAAGGCTTTCAATTGTGTGGAACATGACAAGCTATGGACAACCTTGTAGAAAGTGAGTAACCTGGAACACTTAATTGAGCTCATGAGAAACCTCTACATAGAACCAGGAGGCTATTGTTCAAACAGAACAAGGGAAAACTGAATGGTTTAAAATTGGGAAGGGTGTGCACCAGGGTTGTATTCTTTCACCATACTTATTAAATCTGTATGCTGAGCGAATAATCTGAGAAGCTGGATTATATTAAGAAAAACTTGGCTTCAGGATTGAAGGAAGACTCATTCCCAACCTGCGATATGCAGGTGATACAACCTTACTTGCTGAAAGTGAAGAGAACTTAAAAACTTAACAGATGGAAGACCAAAGACTCCAGCCTTCAATATAGGTTGCACCTCAATGTAAAGAAAGCAACAGTCCTCACAACTGGACCCGTAAACAACATCCATATAAATGGAGAAAAGATTGAAATTATGAAAGACTTCATTTGTCTCAAACTAACCATCAACACTTAAGGAATCAGCTGTCAATATCACACTAGGCAGTGTGCTGCCTGAGACCTCTTTAAAATGTTCAAGAGTTAAAGATGGCAGTTTAAAGACTTAAGGTGGGTCTGACCCAAGCCATGGTATTTTCAGTAACCTCATATCCATGTAAAAGTTGGGCAGTGGATAAAGAAGACCATACAAGAATTGATGCATTCGAGTTAAGGTGTTGAAGGAAAATATTTAAAAATACCATGAGCTGCTAGAAGAACTAACAAATCTACCTTGAAAGCAGTACAGCCTGAATGCTCCTTGGAAGTCAGGATGGCCAGACTTCGTCTTTCAAACTTTGGACATATTATCAGGAGGGACCAGTCCTTGGAGAAGGATATCATGCCTGGTAAAATGGAGGGTTGGAGAAAAAGAGGAAGACCCTCAACAAGATGGATGGCTTGGCACAGTGGCAGCAACAGTGGCCTCAAGCGAAGCAATGATTGAGGTTAGTGCAGGACTGAGCAGTATTTCGTTCTGTTGTACACAGGGTCGCTATGAGTCGGTACTGACTCAATGGCACCTAACAGCAACAACAATGCTACATTACCCTATATAACATAACAGTATGAAAGATGATCACATTACACTACATAGCATATAGAAGCCCTGGTAGCATCATGAATTACAAGCTGGGCTGCTAACTACAAGGCCAGCAGTTTGAATCTACCAGTCTCTCCTTGAGAGAAAGATGAGGCCTTCTGCTGCATAAAGATGTATATAGACTTGGAAACCCTTTGCAGGGTCTCTAGGAGGCAGAACTGACTCAGCAGCATAGAAACACCACCACAGTGTTTTCTAGTATGCTGCATTGCATTATGGGAAGTGATTATATTATATCACATTACCATATTTAACATTTTATATTATGGAGTACACTGCATTGCATTATGGGAAGTGATTATATTGCATCCCATTACTGAGTAACATGTTACATTATGGGGTACGCCGCATTGCTTTATGGGAAGTGATTATATTGCATCACATTACCGTATAACATGTTATATTAGGGAGTAGCAACTAGTACCCATTGCTATGGTGTTGACACCAATTCATGTCAGTTCCATGTGTCTCGAACTACACATTTTTTTGGTGTTTTTTTTTTTTTCCCGTTTTACCTCTCATTCAGTTGTTTAACTTTGTATGTTGAACTAGGTGACAATTTCCAGAGAAAATCTGTTTTTCATTCAACAATTCCTACACTCAGTGAGATTTTCAATGACTTTGTTTCCTTTCTTCCAAGATGTCTCTGAGTGGATTTGAACCTCCAACCTTTTCGGTTAGCAGCCCAAGTGCATTAACCTGTTGTAGCATGTGATAGGACTTCATTTATCCTTACGACAGGGCGGTTATTTATTCTTTTATATGTAGGTACCACATGTTTTTTATCCACTCATCTTTTAACAGGCACTTAAGGTTTTCTCCCACCTTTTGACTACTGTGAATGCAATGGACCTTGGTGCCCAGCTTTCTGTTTGCATTCCTGCTCTCAGTTCTGTTGGGTGTAGACCTAGGATTGGGACAGCTGGGTCATGCAGTAGGTCTGTGTTTAACTTTTTGAGCAATTCCAGACTGTGTTCCACATTGGCTTTTCCATTTTGCGTTCCCTCTGGCAGAGAATGAGAGTTTCAATTTCTTCACATTCTCATCAGCATCTTTTGCTTTCTTTTTTTTTTTTTTTTTAAATTTATGATCATTCTAATGGGGGCAATGTGGTGTCTTATTGTGATTCTGATAAGCATTTTGTGTGGTACGGTGGGTAGGCTAATACATCAGACTGCAAAGTCATTTGAACTGCAAGGCCAGTGGTTCAAACTCACTAACTGCTCCTTGGAAACCCTATACAGGGTTGCTATGGGTCAGAATTGACTTGATGGCACTTAACAACAACAACAATGACTAGCAATGGGGTGTGGTGGCTCTGAGATTAAGCGCTGCTCTGGGAACCATGAGGTCGGCAGTTTGAGCCCACCTGCTACACCGTGAGAAAATTATGAGGCTTTCTGCTCTTGCAGAGATTTAAAGCCTCAGACAACCCTATACAGGGTTGCTATGAGTTGGAATTGACTTGAAGACACTTATCAATAACAACAATGACTAATAATAGAAACACTGGGGATGTACTGGGTTAGTTAGACAGCTGTTTGAAAGATTGTTGGTTTGAACTCAACCAGCCATTCTGTAGGGAAAAGATCTGGTAGTCTGTTCACTTAAAGATGGAGCCTTGGAAATCCTGTGAGGCAGTTCTGTGACCTATAGGGTCATTGTGAGTCAAATTTGACTCTCCATGGCCGAGTTGTTTTTCATTTTATAAAAACTGACTAATCACATTAAACATCTTTTCATGTACTCATTGGCCATTTATACTATAGTGATATGTATATTCAAGACTTTGGTCCATTTTTGATTGGATGTTCTTCTGTTGAGTTTTAGGAGCTCTTTATATATTATGGAATGGACCCCTTCCTTTTGGCCTTCCCCTCATGGGTTCCCCTTCACACTCCTGGCTGGCTAAGCTTGCCTCGTTCCTGAGGTAGGGAGTGGACGTGGCTTGTTCCTCACCTCCTGACTTCTCTAAGGCCACCCATGGGGCCTCATCCTGTCACACTGCAGTCAGTGGTCTCTCAGAGACACTGAACGCCAGAGCAGGGGGCCTGGCTCTCACCATGTGCTGTGTGAAGAGTCATGTCATTCCTGCCACTTCAGGGTTCCCCCCTCCCCTTATTTTTTTTCTGCAGCCAAAAAGTAGTTTAGCTTACTGGAGAGATGGGGCATGGGACTGGAGGGTCCTCAGGGATGTTGTACTTGATTTGCTGAGGTGGAACCCCAGAATCTATTCCTTAATGAGCTAAGTTTCTGTCTCTCTCCATCAGGACACCAGCTATGATCGGATGCTCCTTCGTTGTTAATAGGAAGTTCTTCGGTGAAATTGGTCTTCTGGATCCTGGGATGGATGTGTATGGAGGAGAAAATATCGAACTGGGAATCAAGGTTGGTGACCCCGCTCCCTCTCCTAGTGGCTTCTTCATATTGGTGAGAAGCTGACTCATCCTTGATGTGTTCTTACCGCATCTGAGAGCCCATGCGGAGGATTGAATGGTGGCGCAAGTGGTTAAACGCTCGGTTACTAATAGAAAGGTTGTTGGTTCCAACGTACTCAGTGGCTTGGTAGGAGAAAGACGTGTCGATCTGTTCACGTAAAGATGACAGCCTGGAAAACACTATGGGACAGTTCTGTCATATGAGGTCCCCATGAGTCGAGAATCAACTCGGTGGCCACTAACGTCACTGCCATGGTGGTTACATGGACGGGGTCACGTAGCCTGGCCCCACTCCTGAAGGCAATGTGAACAGACTGTTAACCCCTCTTTAAAATCCCATTCCAACTTACAGCAACCCTATAAGACGGAGTAGAATTGCTCCCTAGGAATTCCAAGACTGTATACTGTTAAGGTTTTATAGGATAAGCACAGGATTGCAAACCTCAGAGTTAGCAGTTTGAGCCCCCGACCCACTCCATGGGAAAACGATGAGGCTTTCTGCTCCCACAAAGATTTACAGCCTCAGAACCTTATACAGGGTTGTTATGATTCAGAACCAACTCAAGGGCACTCAACAACAAAAGAACCTGTAAGGGAGCAAACAGCCTCCAATTCTCCCTCGGAGAGGCTGCTGGATTCAAACCACTGACCTTGCAACCTGACTCATAACCCACTATGCCCCCAGAGCTCCTTCCACTCTTTGTTGATGTTGTTAAGTGCCATAGAGTTGGTTCCAACCCATAGAGACCTGTATAGGGTTTCCAAAGAGTGGCGCGTGAGCTTGAACCACCGACCTTGTGGTTCAAACGACTTTGCAGTCCAGTGCATTAACCCACGGTGCCACTTGGACTCAGAGAGGATGTGCCATTTAGCTCGCAACTTGGTGTGACCCAATTGTGACATGAGCCAGAGAGGTAGCTTCTCAGTTCTATTCAGATTAGTTCGCGCCTTAAATAGTTCTCAAAATTAAATTGCAGCTAGTTTCCATTACTTGTAGTAGTATATTCCACGAAGTTCTCGGGCATCAGGTTTCTATAAGCCTCTGGTCACAACATTTTCATCAGCCAACTGTTAAGTCTCCTTTTTCTGTTTGTGTTTCTGTTTGTAGACAGCTCATGTAATAGGCTCATTGTGTGACCTTGGACTCATATCCAACAGCACATGTGTGGTCTCCATAAAGCACACTGCTGACTTCTTATGTTCAGAAACACAGATTGTACTAAACGGCATTCCAAACAGCAAAATCACGAACTAAAAGCTCAAAGCTGCAGAAATCTGGCGCGAGATATAGGCATACTTTGGAGATGCTGTGGGTTCAGTTCTAGATGACCGTGGTACATCACATACTGTCATAAAGTGAATCACACAAATGCTTTGGTGTCCTCTGGTTGGGTGCCATTGAGTCAGCTCTGGCCCACAGCGACCCTGTGCTCAATCGAAGGAAACACTGCCTGGTTCTGTGCCATCCTCATAATTGTGGTGGTTGAGTCCATTGTCCCAGCGGCTGTTTCAATCCACCTCTCTGGAGGTCGTCCGCTTTTCTTAGTGCATATCGAAGTTATCATTGACACTCTACTGCCTTCTGTTATATGTACAATAGCTTTCTGAAAAGTGTGAAGTCTTGTGAGAACAACCAAACTGAAACAGAGAACAAGCACATGCTGTTGAGAAAATGGCACCAATAGATGTTCTGGACGCAGGGTTGCTGCAAAACTTCACTTGTAAAAACGCAGTGTCTGTAACGTGAAGTCAATAAAACAACAGCAGCCTGTAGACCATGAAAAGGACACTAAGTTGCAGAATGAGAGCTGAGAGACAAAGACAGGGCTTGTCAGCCTCCGCTGGGAAAATAATGTCAAACAGCTCACATTTATGGCTGCTCTGCGCATGTCCCAATTGACCCTAAAAACGTCACTAGTCTTGATTTGGGGGTTACAAATAAAGTCTAGCAAATTGGCAAGTTCACAAATGCAGATTCAGCAGAAAATGAGAATCGGATCTATCTCCTTTAATATTTCCATTGGGTGTGTTTTGACAGTTCATGTGCTTCACAGCATTGTAAGTTGACAGGATGAGAGAAGACCCATGTGTTGGGGGGGCCCTCCATTTACTCAGAACTTTTCTTAGGAGGATGGGGGAGGGAAGGGTGTACAAGGAAGAAGCAGAAAGGGCTTCTTGCTGCCTGCCCCTCAACCCTTACAGATCAGTTTCCCTTTTGTGGGAAATTGAGCCATGCTGAAGATTCTGTTTGGAAAACGGATTCCACTATGAAACAAAAGAAACCAAAAACAAAGCTGGAAACCTTTGATGTTTGTTTCAGAGTTAAGGTAACTGAACCCTAGAGTTGAGACTCATGCAGTACTTGGTAGCCGGTTAATAACAGACTTGCTACTCCTTCCTAGAGCACGTCCCAGGATACTGAGATGGGATCTTTGTCCCTGTTGCCCCCCATCCTAAACCTTCAAGTCCCTGGCTCCCTGAGAAATAGGCTTGTTGGAAATACTACATCACAGTTACTAGGTTCTGAGTTATTGAATTTCTTCAGCCTTCCTTTGCTGCATTCTCTTTATTCTAACCAGTTAGAACCCACTGTGAATCTCTGTGCCATTGAAGTCTGAGCTTGCTGGTTCATCCCTAACTGCCTGGTACCTTCCAGTGCCCACCCCCTTGCTGCCTTCTTGACCCCTCCCTGTGGAATGCAACGTGTAGTATAGTGGCTGCAGCAGGTTGTCAGGGAGAAGGGGATTATAGGGAAGGAGCAGATCCTCCTCCCCATCAGCATGCTAAAATCCAGGCTCTTTTAACTTGCTTTCTGTGAGTTCTTTCCTCAGTAGAATTTGCATAGAGCTTCTTTGTAAAATCACAGCCGTTACAAAGCCCATTAATTTGTTGTCAAAGCTAATCTATTTGCCATTTGTCCTTTCTGAATTTAATTGGTGGGAAAGATCTGGAACCAGCACATTGACACATGACTGAGAACTTTTAACCGTGTTCCCATCTTCTAATGCCTGCTGGTGCTTCTCGCCTGAGCAAAAGGATTGGAGGTTTGAGTGCACTCCGAGGTGCATCAGAAGAAATGCCTGGTGATCCATTTTCAAAAAATCATTGAAAACCTGTGGGGCACAGTTCTGCTGTGACATGCATGGGATTACCATGAGTCGGAATTGGTTCAAGGACAACTGTTCCTATTTTTTTCCCCTTAATATTCATCAATTTATAACATGCTGCCGGGTCAGCTCCCAATGCATGGTGACCCCATGCACAACAGGACAGAACTCTGCCTGGTCCTAGTCAGCCCCATGATCAGTGTGCGTCAGGCTTGTTAAAATCTGTAGGGTTTTCATTGGCTGATACTTTTGGAAGCAAATCACCAGGCCTTTTTTCCTAGTCTGTTAGTTTCCTTAAAAATGATTTAAATAATCTCTATATGCTGCAAGGAGTCCCTGTTTAATGTGCAAATGGTGCAAACAGTTAACATGCTCATCTCCTAACTGAAAGGCTGCAGGTTTGAGTCCCCCAGAGGTGCCTTGTAAGAAAGGCCTGGAGATCTGCTTCTGAACAATCAGCCATTGAAATCCCTATTGGATTCAGTGGTACACACTAAAAGTTGTCAAAGTTGGCATGACAACTGGTTTTAACCACAAAGCTCCAGCCCACTCTGAGGGAGAAAGGGGAAGCTGTCTGTTTTTGTAAAGAGTTACAGCCTCTGAATCCCAAAGGGGCAGTTCTGTGTCTTGTCGCATTGCCATGCGTCAGAATCAACTTGATGGCCATGGGTGGATGGGTAGACAGGAGCCAGTGAAGACTAGACATTCCCAACAGGGGAGAGAAAACCCAGCCCATAAGGGACTGGGAAGATCCGGGGAAGCAAAGATGCTCCGCTTGTTACAGATAGGAAAACTCAGACCACCGAGGTTCATGTTGGGTGGTGGAGTTTTGTTGCTCTTTGTAAGAGCAACCACAGAGGATTTAACAAGAAATGAGGAAACTGAATCTACCCAGATGTGATTGCTTAGGTCAAGGTGTGGTTGCCAGGTCCCACTCCTTCCGCACCTCAGAACACAGAGCATAGGGTGATACCTGTGGCTGAGACTTGCTGGGGGGGGAAAAAGGGGTGTTCCTGTACACACTTGACCTGGCGGGAAAGCTCTGCTCATTTGTGGGGTAGTGGTGATGGTAATGATGTGCAGGCAGGGCTGTCCCTAATGGACAGTGAGGGGTTTCCACAGCATTCCTGGGTAAGGGTAGCCCAGTATACCAAGGCCCTGGACCCCCTGCTGACCTGCTCACAAGCAGGAGAACTTACTGTGCTCTGTGCAGAGCAGCTCCCAGGCAGGGTTTGGCTGGCTTTGACTTCTCAGTGGATCCCGGTGTCCAACTCACCCACCCCACTCCCGCGGCTCTTGGCATGTCTCCATCACAGCATCAAGTGTTTCTGGGCCTGGTATCCCTCTGGTGGACAATAACCTGCCTCTGGAGTGCATTTCCCAGCATCTCTGAGATGGGTGCAGGAGAGGCAGGGAGGTTTAGCCTTTTCATTCACCAAGACCAAGCTGAGAGCAGATGCTTGGTTCCCCGCCCATCTTTTCAAGTGGAGGTGGGATGTGGCTGGTACCACAAAGGCCAAGGTGTGGGTCAGGGTCCAGTGCACTGTGGTTCTCACAGTGGGGTCCCCAAGCCAGCAGCAACTGTATCACCTGGGTCTCTACACCAGATCCACTGGATAGAGCCTCCCGGATGGGGCCCAGAAATGTGTGCATTAAACTCTGATGATTCTGACGCACATCCAAGTCTGGGAAATGTTGCTTTATACCCAATCTTCATTAGTCAGGTGCAGTTGAGTTCATTCTAACTCATAGAGACCTTATGTGTGTCAGAGTAGAAGTGTGTTCCATAAAGTTTTCATTGGCTGTTTTTTTTTTTTTTTTTTAAA